ACTTGGGAGTTAGTGGATTACCTAGAGGCAAAAATCCAGTTGGGTGTAAGTGGGTGTATACGGTAAAACACAAAGCAGATGGTTCCATAGAATGGTACAAAGTAAGACTGGTTGCTAAGGGTTTCACTCAGACTTATGGAGTGGATTACCAGGAGACATTTGCACCGGTTGCTAAGACGAATTCTATGAGAATCTTACTCTCTCTTGCTGCAAATTTGGATTGGCCACTTCATCAGTTTGATGTGAAGAATGCCTTCCTTCATGGAGATCTAGCAGAAGAGGTCTATATGGATATTCCTCTTGGTTTTGCGGATGCTAAGTCCAACGGTAAAGTATGCTTGCTCTGAAAGTCACTTGATGGACTAAAGCAATCTCCTAGGGCTTGGTTCGAAAGGTTTGCTCAAGCTATGCTAAAATATGGGTTCAAGCAAAGTCAAGCCGATCACACCTTGTTTTTGAAACACTCCTCACATGGTAAGACCACAACTTTTATTGTCTATGTTGATGATATTGTTCTGACAGGAGATGATGTGGAGGAGATTCCTCGTTTGAAAGAATACTTAGCCAAGGAGTTTAAAATCAAAGACTTAGGCTATTTGAAATATTTTTTGGGCATTGAAGTAGCTCGGTCCAAGGATGGCATTTTCATATGCCAGAGAAAGTATATACTTGACTTGCTAAAGGAAACTGGATTGCTTGGAGGTAGACCATGTGATACACCTCTAGAACCGGGCCAGAAACTGAGCGAGGATCAAGAGGGAGATCCAGTGGATAGGGGGAGATACCAGAGACTAGTGGGAAAGCTCATATACTTATTCCACTCACGTCCAGACATTGCCATTGCCGTGAGTATGGTGAGTCAGTTTATGCATGCTCTGAGAACTTCCCACTTAGAGGCAGTTATGAGAATCCTGAGATACCTGAAAGCTTCTCCGGGAAAGGGTCTATATTTCTCGAAACATGACCATCTCAGTGTGGAGGCATTTACTGATGCAAATTGGGTTGGATCCATCACTGACAGACGATCAACTTCTGAATATTGCACATTTGTTGGTGGCAACCTAGTCACATGGCGAAGTAAGAAACATAATGTGGCTGCTAGATCTAGTGCTGAGGCAGAATTTAGGGCTATAGTTCAAGGTGTATGTGGGTTACTATGAATTTAAACTATTGTTGGAAGACTTGGAAATCCATCAGAATGACTCCATGCGACTATATTGTGACAACAAGGCCGCAATCAACATAGCTCATAATCGAGTTCAACATGATAGAACTAAGTATGTGAAATTGATAGGCACTTCATCAAGGAAAAACTCACTAGTGGCACCATATGTATTCCATTTGTGAAGACTGAAGACCAACTAGCCGATGTTCTCACCAAGGGGCTAGGGAGCAAACCATTTCATGGCATTCTCAATAAGCTGGGAATGAGATATATTTTGTCACCAGCTTGAGGGGGAGTGTTAGAATAGGAAATACGTGATTCTGTAATTGTGTTTCCTTGTATTATGCCTTATGGCACTCCTATAATTACTCAGTATTATCAATATAAAAGGGAATGAAGTCTACCTCATTCCCTAACTCTTTCTCTTCTCTAGAACTACATATATATATATATATATATATTAAAAAACAAACAACTTGGAGAATCATTATTAAATTGTATTGCAAAACCCCACATGGATGAATAAATAAATGGATAGGAAGTGATAGAAATTGTAAATAAATAAGAGATCCTCACAAGCAGTGGAGTGAAGGGTGCAAACCAAGATTTCCTGGGAAACCCAGCTCTAGATTAGTTTTTGAAGAGTTGTTGTCCATAAATATATACATAAATATTATGATATTGGTGAATGCCTAGGCAAGACAGAACAATTCTACACAAATATATTCCCATCTAAAAGAGAGCTCCAAATGTATTCTCAAAATAGTCTTGCAATTTCAGTAAAGAATCATTCTTGCCTGTATTTATTCACCTCACACTAGCTTTGTACAGTGAGGGGAAATTATCCTATGCGCACATTTAGGGGTGCACATTATCTGTAACCTATCATAAAAATGTATAATTTTATCATAAAATTTTGTAATATGAATCACAAAATGTGTAATCTCACAACAAATTAACATAATAAAAATTTCTAAAATTTTGTAATTAATCTTGCAAAAGTTTGTGATTTTATGATTAATGTTATAAAATTTTATAACTTGGTTACAATATTTTTATTATGTTAATTTATAACGAGATTACACATTTTATAATTAATATTACATAGTTTTGTAATAAAATTATATATTTTGTAACTTATTTAATATTACGTAGCTTTGTAATAAAATTATATATTTTGTGATAAGTTACATAGGATACGGTGGAGGATTTCCAGAGCTATCTATTTGGTATTTTTATTTTTTTTTTAAAATAAGGGGTCGTTGAGATCTATCCACGTCAACCAAAGGACAAGAAATGGTGATTGTGTTGTTATATGAAACACGTGAATTCTGTACTAATAGCATATGCAATATTAAAAAATAAAGTAAATTACAATAACCTGCATTAGGTTTGGACAAAAGATAGTTAATCCCATATTTTAACATAATTATTTACTTTTGTTTAATCAAATTAAAATAATTAAAATTAATATAGATAATGGGTCAATACTAAAATAAACAAAAATAAATATACACTTTAGTAAGAAATATATGGCAATATTATTTTCTTAATTCATATAATTAATAAATTACTAATTAAAAAAGACATAATTATTATGTGAATTAAAACAATAAAGTAGATTAGTGTAATTATATTAAAAATATGATGGCCACTGCATTTTCACCTAATCTCAAGGAATGTGAATGTAATTTATCCTAAAAAGTAGTATCTAAATGTAATTTACCTTAAAAAATACTATCTCTGTTATAAATTGTTGGGATAATTACAAAAAAAATCCTCAAAGTTAGACCCTTATAACAAAATAAACCATGATTTTTTAATTTTATCAATTTAAACCCTAAACTTTTGACTTGCTTTCTATCTAAACCATTTGTCTATTCTTGTTAAGTAAAATTGATTGAAAAAATATTTTTTTAATCATTAAACTCTATGAAAAAGAGTATTTTAGACATTTTATATATACCTACATTGAGTTTAATGATTAAAATACTCGTTTTCCATCGGTTTTATTTATGAAAAATAGGTTAATGATTTAGATTGAAGGTAAATTAAAATATTAGGGTTTAAATTGATAAAATTAAAATTTAGGGTTTATTTTGTTAAAAAAACTAAAATCTACGGATTTTTTTTTTAATTGTCCCTAAATTGTTTGACCAATACCAAAAAGAACTTAAAAATAATATAATTTTTATGCAAAAAATTTAATTTGCTTTTTTCATATACTAAAAGTACTTTATAAAATCTTTTAATTGATGAAAAACTAAAAAAAATTCGACACAATAATACATATATTTTTTGGTTAATTTTATGTCAGTTAAATAATTTGGAATGGTGTAAGAGTATACATATTTGACTAATCTCACTAATAATATATGCATTAAAAACTTAATTTTGAATATATTATTATGGTGCACATGGTATGTGCCTCTCTTATTTATCTTTGGATGACTTGTGTTTAATAATCCGATTTAGTACTTAAAATTGAATGTATTAATTGATAATCAATTAAGTCTATTTGATAATTATAATTGATATCACTTAAAAATTGAAATACCACTTAAAATGTAGGTTAAAACTTAAGCAAATTTTAAATCATATGAAACTTACCTAATTCTGACTGAATTTTTAAATACTATTATAACCTCACTACCACCATTACCACCACCATTGCCACCACCACCACCATCATCATCATCGTTATTGCTACCACCACCACCATTGCTACGGCTACTACCACCATGCCATCGCCGCCACCACCACCACCACCACCATTGCCACCGCCGTTGTCGTTCCTGCTGCCGCCACCATCACCTTATCACCATTGTCATGGTCATCATATGTATTACCATCATTTTACTACCACTACTATTACTATCACCACCACCACCACTGCTATCAATACCACCACCATCACAATATAAAAATTAAAATATACAATTTGATAATAATAAATTTTAAATTTGATTAAAATTTAGGAATCTTCCATCGAAGGGTCATAGCGATGACGTGGCAAGGATGGCTAAAATAGCTGACGTAGCATGAAGTGGGACTAAAAAGAGAAGGCTACGAAAGATGATAACAAAGAATCTAGAAAGAAATCAAAAAACAATTCCTAAAATGCAGGGATAAACATGAAGAGAGGCAAAAAATCAAGGAAGATCAAAATGAAAAGCCAGTCCATGAGTCAACTACAAAAGGAAACTGGAATGAGGATCAAGGAATCATCAACCATCAACCACACTTGTGAAGAGTTATTTAGGAGTAGTTCTAGATTACCTATTTTAGGAGTACATTAAACTAGCAGTACAACAAAAAAGGATTTTTACGGCGCGCAATGCATGCCGTAAAAACCCTTCTACGACGTGCAGGCACGCGTCATATTATGACCAGTCATGGAAAGTCATTTACTTTCAATGACATGTTTCGTACGCCGTTAAAAACTATTTAACGGCTAATTTTGTACGTCGTCGTTACTTTCTCTACGACATGCTATAGTACGCCGTTAAAAACTATTTAACGATAGATTTTGTGCGTCGTCGTTACTTTTTCTATGACTACTTTTGCACGCCGTAAATTGGTTAGACAAATAACGACACTGATTGCGCGCCGTAAAATATGTAATACAATTACTTATTATGCCTGTCATAGAATATGCAATTATTTATTTTTTATTTTGTTTTAAAATTCAACAAATTTTATTTGACCAATTTGGTACAATCTAACAAATATTACAAACAAGCATTACAAAACATCAATCAACCACCAAAATATTGTTTGAAACATTAAAAAAAAAACTATATCCATAAATTATAAACATTCAACAATTGTCTATACATTCCAAACATTCGAAAACTATATCCTTAAGTTCTAAACTGTACAAAAAATTTAAACCATCCAAAACTATGCATATCTAACTTTCTAAACATATCGACAACTATTAAGAGATTATCTAAAACTACCGACAATAGTTCCTATAGCAGTTGCAGTTGCAGCTGCAGCTGTAGCAAATCCATTTGCTCCTATCACAGGGACGAGGGTGCCCAATGTATGTGTCACCTAAACCCGCGGCAGTAGCTGGAGCAACTAACCCTATTGCATTTCTTGTCTGCATGACAAAGCAAACTTCACATAAGTACATAAACCAACAACTCAGGACAAAAATATTTTTGAGGTATTAAGAAATGATGAAGAAATTTTAAAACAACAACAAAGCATTTCCAAAATTAATAAGATAATTCAATGGCCCAATAAAAGCAATGTCATAATGAAAAATTAGCAAAAACTCAATATATCAATAGTCTCAACATATATGCAAATAAAATCCACATAAAGCAAAACCTTTTTTCTCATACCTCAAATGAAGTTACATCTAATGAAGTTACATCTTTTGTTGCAATGTTTCTAGAGGGAAATGAGTAGGAATATTCAAACAAACCATTAAGTTTGTACAAGAATATATAGTTTGCTACTAAATCCAGACCATAAGAAGCGCAAGAGAAAAATTAAATTTAAAAAGAGGAAGAGGTGGAATTAATCTACTTCAATGCAACACATACTTGGGACTTGCATAATTATGTTAAAGGATCTCTACTTTTCCAACCCTTAAATCCTACAATTCATTGTTAAGAGTTTCATCAACAATTAATTTTAAAAAAATCAAAATCAAAACCAATTCTTAAGACTGAGTGTGGTATTTATAACCCATTCCTTTTCGGATAGGCATGGAAATTGTATAATTAAGATCAATCACAGAAGATATAAGTTTAGCATCAGTCCATCCACCCACACTTGGGTCCAAAAGTAGCCTTTTTACCACATCCTATTCTACTTTAGATTTATCAGCAGAAATTAGAACCATTCCTTGTCCATGAAAAGCTCGCTTTGAAGTGTCAACTCAGTAAAAGACAAGGCAGGATGAGAAAAAGTCACAGGGAACCCTGTCATTATGAGGCTTTATAGTCATTACTAGGGTACATGTCATTACTAGGGTTGGCAGGGGCCCATGTCATTACTAGGCCACGTGCTTAAAGTTAATAGGGTTTACAGTCCCATTTTTTACTGCTGATGGTCTAAACATAAAGCTTATCAATATTTCATGTCAATGGTTACACATAATTTACAGTAGCTGTAGGCCTACAATGCATCAAGTTAACATGTCATACTACTGAATATGCTTCAGAAGCCTTACAGACATAGCAGTGTCAAATGGAGATCTAAAACTTTAACCATTCAAGGCAGTTTAATGTATTATTTGCATCACCAAAATATACCAGAAAGAGGATAGTTAATATCAGCTTATTTGACCAAAACTATTTACAAAAACATCAGGTGCAGCTTTTGCTGTGTAAACCTTATGGTAAATATTTTCCCCACTTCCCCCTGATTAGTACATAGTAAACCTTACAAGAGTGTGAACATGCATTCACAGAAGAGCTTGCTTACCTTGCACTTATCCCACAAAGAAGGCAATACCTCCTCTGAGGTTAGGTTCTTTTGCAATTTCTTATACATCGCAGTGATGGACTTGTCAACCTGAACAACACTAGTCTTGCGTTACTGAACCATCTTGATACTAAAGGCAGGAGATACTATAGGTTACACAATGACTTACCCCAGATAAACTGGATTTCACCACCTTCCGTAGATCCAATTTTGACAATCCAAGCTGGAATGGGATCTTCAATTTTTACAAAAGAAAATAAAAATCTTCAGGCAAATACTCATATCAACAATTACTGCAGTACTTATACTGAGTTTAGTGTAAAACAAGTGCTACACCCATCCAATCTCCAAAAAATTCATTACCCAAACTTAAAATGTTGAGACTTGGTAAATGCCTGGGAAAAGAAGGCATTGGCTCTGCTGATGGCATCCAAGCAACCACCAGAAATACAGACAAAAGAACATCGCCAACAAAGAGAAGAACATCATTTTGGACGGACAGAACATCGCCAACAAAGGGAAAAGATACATGACACTTTTTTTATTTTTTTATTCAGAGGATGTATGTCTGAAGGATCAAAAAGCATAACAACGATGACATATTCAATGGACTTCAAGATCTAAGCTGCCTAAATAAATCCCCAAATGACCACAGCAGCATCAAATTTACTATTTGTTCTTCTAGAAATGTTTCTACCCAATTAAAATTGCTGCAAATTTCCAGCAATGTAAAATTTACTGTTAAGCATTTAACTAGTGGTTAAAATCTTGTAGTAACACATATATTTTTCCAAAGAGTATTATACAAATTAACAAAATTTACATACTTCTGTTACTCATATAAGTTGTGCCTAACATATTATTCTAGTGGGTCCCGCTATAGATACCAAAGTGTCATTACTATATGCTACATGTTTAAGTAAGAAAAGTTTTTTGAGTTTTGTTATTTTGTGTAGCATTTTTCTTTTCCAAAACACTTAAAACACGTTCCACTGAAATCAATGCTAATCCTAACTAAACTCCAAGAAGCTAAGCCGTGGCACAACAGGATCATGGCCGAAGAGCCAAGGAATATTCTAACCGTCTGGCAGAACAGTATTACTCATGGGGAGTAAGGAATTATATTCAAAAATAAGAACACTAACCTCTTCTGGGGTGATAGTGTACATCAAATCCTCAATTCTTCGAGCAAACTGGAAAAGCCGTTCAAATTGCTGCAAACAAATTCAATCAAAATGAGCAACTTCAGAAACACACATGTACTATTGTATGCTATTACAGGAAAATTTGTTAAGCTTTTAATACAAATTAAAATTACTTGAAAAATTGGCAATGACAACAAAACCTTAATTTTTCAATCAAAACCCCCCAAATAAAAACCCAAAATTCTCAATTTAAAACTTAACTTCTCAAAACTTTTTTTTTTTTCCAATTGAAGTCCCCAAATCACTAAACATATACATGAAATAGAACAAATGGTGATAGAAAAATCTGAACAGAGTTTGGCTAGATACAGAAAAATCTACCTTCGTTCAATCAACACCTCTTGACTGTGGTGGCTTCAAAACCCTAGCTTCATAGAGAGAGAGAGAGAGAGAGAGAGAGAGAGAGAGTGAGTGAAAGAGAAGTAGTAACAAAAGTAAGAAACTACCATCTCATATTACATTATAGCCCCACAGTGAGTAGCCCAAGAAGCACGAAACTTCTGGGGGCAGCTGCAAGGCAAGCATGCACAGAGTAAGTGGGTATCCAATAGATGGCTTTGATTGCCTGCCAAAATCTTATAAATCGTACGCTAAAGATAATAGAAATTAAAATCAATGTGAAAGTTGATTCATTTTGGCCAGCTTCATTTACCTATATAAAATAAAATAATAGATCTTCAAAGTTCAAACACGGTAAAGACTAAGTAATTCAATTTCATTTAGCACCCTTTGAACTTTTTTAAATAAAATATGGCAAGTTCCTATTTCTTGTATAAAAATACAGTTAATTCCCAAATTTTGGATTTTATTTAGGTTTGCCCAAGACATAAAATGTAATTGATACAGCAATAAAAAGTTCATAAGCAAAAACCATCCGCTGATCTCGTTCAGGATCAACCTCCGTCTCTGCCACTTCTTCCTTTTTCTCTTTATACCGTCTGCTAAAGAAAAAAAAAATCTAAAGTATTATCCCAACTTGATCCATAAATAACAATAAATCTGCTTCAGTTAAAGAAGGGTAAGTCAAAAGAGTTGAACAAACTAACGCACCATAACTAAGGAAAATACATTTGGTCTTGGAAATAATTAAAGTACGTAGGCAGCAAAATTCCTTGAGTTACTATGCAAAAGAGGAAAGAAAGAAAAAAAAAAAAAAAGGAAGAACAGAAAAGAACAATCCAAAAAGGGTAGCAAATTTTCTCCAGTATGTGTATAATGAAAGGCCGAACCCATTTAACATAACCCTGTAGGGAAGTGCACCAAGTTAAAATGGTGGGACCAATGTATGCAGTTGTGAAACCATAAACATCTTCTATTAAATTTACTGAGAACCAACCTGGAAACAATTAAAAGAAATTAGAACATCGGGACCAAGTAGTAAACTATGTAATCCAACTTCAGGCAATGAATTAATTACAGATTTGTCCCCTTCTACAAACAACCTAATCTTCAATGGGAAGAACATCATGGGGTCATACAAATGGCACTGTCAAAGGAGGTATTATTAGTTGAAAGCACACCAATGTGGAACCTGTTAAAATTTTGTATTTAATGAAAAGAGACACACTCTTAGCAAGCAATAAGAAGGCCAAAAATTGAATGTAGACATAAAAACCAAAAAGCCAAACATCACTTGATGTGTTTGACTTCTCACCAACCACCACCATAGTGATGTAAAATATCACAATATGAGCAGCTCAACTAAAGGCATCCACCATATTTCCCCTGGATAAATTATTGGAGTCAATAAACAAAAAATCAAAATAAAAATTACACAAAATTAAGCCATAAAGTGAAATTCTTTGTCATATAACAAACAGCTAAGACAATAGAATTAATGAAATTAAGTTCAGAATATCATAAGGAAAATGACCATTGACATTTATGGGCACAATGTAACACAAGATACAATTCTAATCTAATGTTTTATAAACATAAAGAATAACTTGATGCTTGAAAACAAAATGGAAGCACACCTTACATGGGCGCCGGAGGGGGGAGGGGGAATAAGTTTCTTTAAAGTAGTAACCTGACAATTGTAAACCAACTAAAAGCATGCCTTCCAAAATAGTAAAAGTCTCTGATTAAGTTTTGTTAAAACCTATCACCTACTTCACCCACTTCACCTACTCCACTACACCTACTCCACCCACTTCACCCTTTACCAAGGGATGCCAATGAATCCTTGCTTGGAAGGGCTAGTGTAGTCAGAGCATATTTGAGACAGTACAAACAGTAGCAATAGAATAGCAAGCCAAGAAGTTTTAGGGCTTAGAGGTCCTACAATCAAAAGGCTAGGACATATTCTAGATTCGAAACAATGGAACTCATATTCGAAATCCCTTATTACAAATTTGGGGAATATCTGAAAAAATCAAAATCAAATAATTTTCATATAAAATAAGGTAGGGAGAGGAAGAAGCAATCTATGAATCTACACAAATATGAGGGGGAAAAAAAACCAAAACCAAAGATGAAGATGAAGATGACCGACTTACCAGTCAGTGAAATACACTCTCAGTCGTTGCTTTCAAGGACTCCTTACAGGAAGAACACCATGAAGAAGAGATGGATAACTCTGATTTCAGATACACAAGAGAGATCGATTCGGTCTTACAGAGATTGAAACCCTTCCCCCTCTACGTTCCCTTTCTAAATTAGAACCAATTAGAAGCCAAAGACTTATTCTGGGGGAAAAAAATCTAAGGCATATAAGAGAATTCATTTTACCGCTTTTTTTTTTTTAGAGAGAATTTATATTTTCGCGCTTATTTTTTTTATCTTATTATTAACGACTTAGATTATGCGTCGTAAAAAGTTTAATATTTTTAACGGTTGACTTTTTGTGCGCCGTGAAAAGTGTAATACTTTTTATGGTTGGCCTATGTGCGTCGTGTGTAATTAATGTATTAACGACACGCCATATGCACGTCGTAGAAACTTTTATTATTTACGACATGCATTGCAAGTCGTAAAAAAATCATTGTTATTATCATTCACGGCCTACACAATAGACACGTCGTGGTTGGAAAAGTATTTACGACGTGCAAAAAAAGCAAGTCGTAAAAGTGAGAAATTACGGTGTACATTTATTGTATGTCGTTGATGTGGTGCCGTAAAAAGTCAGTTTTGTTGTAGTGTAGTAGCTTTTCCAACCCCTCATTTCTCTTCTTTTTGTTGATTGCTGTATTTATTCAATTCTATGTTCTTCAAGGGTGAGGTCACCCACATCAAGACCTTGGTCAGCCTCTATGCCTGGGTCAGTTTTGCTAGCCTTCTGTGAGGTAGTTGGTGCCTTGGAATGAGAAGGAATTTGGTTGGTTTTCCTCCTCAGAGTCTAAATCATAGGCTTTGAAAGAGGAAGCCATGAAGGAGTCATTCAAGGGATTCCTCCTTTTAGGCTTCTTGGCATAGACCTTGGGAGTCTTGTCCTTGGCTTTACCAGAGGTCTGAGCTAGCAAATGAGGCAGTGGGTAAGGGATATTAGCAGCACCAAGCTCTCTTGGAGTATCACCTGATTAAGAAATAAAAAGAAAAAAAAAAAAACTGTGAGCATGAATAAAAAGAAAATTCCTATAAACAAGGGAAAAAAAAAAGATCAGAGAAAACATGAGTGACTTACAAATTTAACTTTGTCGATGGGAAGGCAAAAGACAGGACAAGTACTATTGTGATGTCCTAGGTCTTGGACTTGATCGGTATTGTGTAGTAAAGGCTGGTTTGGCATAGACTATATAATCCATCTTTTTATCTTTTTATCTTTTTTCCATCACATCACCTCTCTACTTTTCTGCACATCTTTTCGTAAAAAGACAAAAAGTACACTTTTTTAGGACACCCCAAACCAACCCTAAGTTAGCTATGCCCCATATACAAAAAGTTTTACAACATCTCTAATTAGGGACAGAGATAAAGAGGGTCTAGGGATCACGTGTCATTCTCTCGATTTTGAATTTTTTTTTTAACATAAAAAAATAATTTAAATAAAAATATTATAAAAATATTACTTAGAGTGAAATTTTAAAATTATAATAACAATAATAGTTGTTTTGATTGAAAATAAATAGATTATTATAAACCATATTATCTATGAAAATTTTAAATGTAACGGTGATGTCATTATTATTGACATGCAATTATAAGTAATCTCACTATAAAAATATAAAATTTATTAGATCGTTAGATACATTTTGACATGTGTTGTTCATCCTCCATGTGTTTCTTTACCATTGGTGAGTATATCATATGTCAATGATGAACATTTCCTCTCCCTTCTCTCTACATTTCCTACCAAAAACCTCACAAGATCTTTGATTTCTCCAAATCCATTGGGATTTAGATCCAAGTTCTTCATCAAAGTTGGTTATCTAGGCGAGGGCTACGTTGTGTGCGGTGGAGATCGAGTTTCATCGTCGTTGATTTTGGGATTTCCAACTCATTTTTTCGTCAAACTTGAAGTAGGGATTTTCTTTGAGTTATATATATGTTTTTGCAAGATCAAGATAATTTTCGAAATCATCCTTTGTTTAGTTTTGAAAATTAATTGTTGACTTAAGAAAATGAGTGATTTTGAAAGTGGGTTTACCAATTGATCCTTTGAGATAGAAATTGGGGGTTTTAAACCATGTTGATGAAAGAAAGATGTTTTGATGAGATCTTCTCAAATACTTGAAGATGAATGGTTTTTGGTGAGAAAACCTAGAAATTAGGGGATTTTTAAGAAAGATGTTGAAAATCTTTACAATATGTTGTTATATTTATTTTGTGTGCCAAAATAAATGATGGTTGAAAATTGTTTATTTATTACATATAAATGATGGTTTTCCATGGAATAAGATAATTGTTGAAGTTTTGGAAATTGTTATTTAAAAGTATTGATATAGTATTGAAATGACTAAGTTGTTGGAAATGTTTGAAATGTGGGAATTATGTTATCCCTTGGATGAATTGAAATAAAAATATTTATTCTTATTGTGAAATTACATTGAAAGGAGAAATGAGAATTTTGATCACAATAGTAGTTGCTGGAAATTTGTGTTAATGTATATAATAAGATAGTGGCACGTATATAATATGATAGTGGTGTTGGTGGTAGATAGTGGCATGTATATAATATGATAGTGGTAGATAGTGGTAATATATAATATGTAAGTGGCATATAATGGGTTATAATGATGTTTGTAATATCTCCTATATAAGGAGTGTCATTTGGTCTTGTAAGATAAGAAGTTTTGAATATAACAGAAATATATTCCTTCTTCCTCATATTTTCGGAGTTCTTCTTCCATGGTTGGTCAATTCCATGGAGGAGGATATAAGCTCTAATTACATGTGCTATCCTACTGCACAAGAATTGTGGGATAATGTTAGTCAGATGTATTCTGACCTAGGAAATCAATCTCAAGTTTTCGAATTAACTTTGAAGTTGGGAGAGATTCGTCAAGGAGATGATTCCGTCACCAAATATTTCAATTCGTTGAAAAGGTTGTGGCAGGATCTTGACATCTTCAACACATACGAATGGAAATCGGTTGACGACTGCAACCACCACAAGAAAACTGTGGAAGACAGCCGTATTTACAAGTTTCTTGCCGACCTCAACATTGAGTTCGATGAAGTGCGAGGAAGAATTATTGGCAGACCTCCTCTCCCATCCATTGGCGAAGTATTTGCCGAAGTCAGAAGGGAAGAGAGCCGAAGGAACGTCATGCTTAAGAAAAAAGGTAATGGTGAATCAATTGAAATTTCTGCTTTAATTAGCGATGCTGCGGCCAACAAGGCTGCAAATTACCAACGCAGGTTTGATGATAAGCCACGGGTCTGGTGTGATTTTCGCAACAAGCCTCGCCATACACGCGAAACGTGTTGAAAGATCCATGGCAAACCTGTCAACGGGAAAAGCAGCAAACAAGGAGAGAAAAATCGTGGCTTTCCTACCGCTAATGAAGCCGATTCAAGTCCCTTCAACAAAGAGCAGATTGATCAACTCTTAAAGCTGATAAAATCCAACTCCTCATCCGGTACTCCTAGTGTTTTGTTGGCACAAACAGGTAGAAATCCTAAAGCCTTCTCTTGCCTAAACTTCTCTCCGTGGATCATAGATTCCGGTGCCTCCGATCACATGACTAGTTTTTCCCATTTATTTAGTACCTATTTCCCTTGTTCCGGTCATGACAAAATCAGAATAGCCGATGGTAGTTTTTCACCTATTGCAGGAAAAGGATTTATTAAACTAACTGAGAAAATTAATCTCAATGCTGTTCTTCACGTCCCCAACTTAGCCTGTAACCTTTTGTCTGTCAGTAAACTATCTAAGGATTCTAATTGTCGTGTTACATTTTTTGAATCCCATTGTGAATTTCAGGACCAGAACTCGGGGATGATGATTGGGCGTGCTAGGATGCTTGAAGGTCTTTACTACTTTGATGAAGTACCTGTTAGTAATAAAAAAACTCAGAGCTTTAATAGTACTAGTTCAATCTCTGTTCAAGAAAAAATAATGCTATGGCACTATAGGCTAGGACATCCTAGTTTTCTTTATCTGAAACATTTATTTCCAGAATTATTTAAAGGGATTGATTGTTCTTCTTTTCATTGTGAAAGTTGCATTTTTGCAAAATTTCATCGCTCTACTTATTTGCCAAAACCTTACCAGACTTCCAAACCTTTTTATTTGATTCATAGTGATGTTTGGGGCCCTTCTAAAATCACTACTCTTTCTGGTAAAAGATGGTTTGTTACATTTATTGATGACCATACCCGCTTATGTTGGATTTATTTGATGAATAAAAAATCTGACGTGAAAAATTTATTCACAAATTTTTACAATATGATTGAAAACCAATTTCAAACCAAAATTGGTATTTTACATTCTGATAATGGAACAGAATATTTCAATGACCAGTTGGGTGAGTTTTTGGAAAAAAAAGGGGATTTTTCATCAATCTACATGTCGGGATACCCCTCAACAAAATGGCATTGCAGAACGAAAAAATAAACATCTACTTGAAGTAGCACGTGCTATAATGTTTTACATGCATGTTCCTAAATATTTATGGGGTGAAGCAATTTTAACAGCCTCGTATT